GGAACTTTCCCCTTTTAAGTATTGCCCTGGGATTCTAAAGTGACTTGTGAGACACTAGAGTCCTTGAATGCTTCATTTGTATCCCAAAATACAGGGGATGCGAGCTAATAACAACATTAAAACCGAACATTTCAAACTGTCTCTGTTCGTGGAGAACCAAGCGTTTATAAAGAATGAGCGAAACTGACTTATTTTTGTTTCACTTAACATTGTCAAGCTTTTCTACAAGCATGAAGATCGTCAATTATAGTTCCTAAGTGTAGTAACAGCGTTGTTCTCATTAATTGTGCGGTCTAAAATCGTTGTCAAATTAATTGTCCGGTCAAGGACACTTCTCAATTAAGAGGATCCTCTCTTCTATTTTCTTTTTGTCAGTGTCGCGGGAAAGGAAAGAGATGGAACAGAGAGATGGAAAATCGAAGACGAAAAACAGCTACGCGAAAGAAAGTGAAAACGGACTGAATAATAGATAGTAAAAGTGAAGTGCCTCGCCGGGCCCAGCTGGAAAGGGTCCGAGGCGCAGGCGAGGCCTTGAAAGAAAACAGAAAGATCTCGTATGATCGCCAAGTGTTTACCAGGACAACCACGCTTACACAAGATCCTGGGAAAATTCACACAATGGCAAGGGCGCACTGGAGGTACAATAGTCTAGTTAGAGGTAAAAGAACTATGTATTTTCGAAATCATTTTTAGAAAATTGTATACAAGAAATCCGAAAACATATTAAGTAATCATTTTAAATTGTACGCGTTATTGAATCATTTAATGTTTTCGTAGCATATTCAATAATACCTTTCCTAACCCTGTACCGTCTATCCACGTCCGTCCATCGACTCTCCTCACTTCCTGCATAGTAACCGTGTGGATGAATCGCAGTAGGAATGAATTCATTTTCCTAATTAAACCACACATTGGACTCACATGTAGAAAGTTCCATAAATTGCAATTATAGAGATCTCTGAACTTTTATTACTTAACTACTTTGATTCATTAATTACTTTTGACCTGTGCTAATAGTAATATTTCTTTGTTAAAATTTTTTTCTTACTGTAAGAATTTTTCTTCGTAGTTTCAATAGCATACTTTTAACATTGACATGATTTCTTCGCCTTAACTATTTTAATATTTCGTCTATTATTTTTGAAATACAGTAAAATTCTGATTATCCGACATACTCGAAACTGGAGCAATGTTGGAAAATCAAATATGCCGGATAGTTAAACTATACCCTACATATGAAGTGATAAAAACGAGGAATACATTATATTTTCGGTAAAGAATTTTTTTCTCGAAAGTGCGTAGGATTTCGAGGATATATATATTCACCAAAAAATATTGTCATTGACCCCTGCAACCGAAAATAATTTTTCCAAAATGATTTGAAATTTTCTTTTTCGAAGAAAAATTTAGACACCTACCGCCTCGATTTTTCTTAAAAACTAGTTCTTCAATTTTAATCAATTTGCTTGATGCTGTACGGAAATGTTGTTTAATACTTTTTTTTAGGTATCTATGAACTCTACTTCTCTACTAAATTTCAATGAGATCCGTCCACAATTGTAAAAGTTATAGACGTTTGAAAATTGGATCATGTTTATGGGATTTTTCTCATTTTACAGGGTTGAGGAACAACTTTTTCCAATATTTTTGGAATCTCTACAAATTCTTCACCAAAATACGCGTTGTTTGCATTCTGAAACTTTAAAATCGCCCAAACCGATCAGGAGTTATGATATTTTAAAGATACGCGTGGGGGAATCATTTCTGACCTGACATTAGATATTCGGTAAGGAATTTTTCTCTCGAAAACACGTAGAAATTCGAGGGTATGTCTGTTCACCAAAAACGATTGTAATTGACCCCTGCAACCAAAAATATTTTTTTCAGAACGATTTGAAATTTTTTTTTCAGCCGAAAAATTTAGGCACATTCGGAACTTCACTGTAATATTATGCTTTCCAATAATTGTTTATTCGATCTGTGCGTTGCCTGAGCCTTATCGTGGACCATTTTATATTGTTAATAGTTTGCATTTCTACTACTAACGCAGACAATTAGAGGCGAGCGGTATTTATTTTTTAATCGAACAAAGAGCAATTCAACCCATGAGCAAAGTAAATCGGGTTAATACAGGAATACCGCGGATCAGATTTCTAGAAATACAGGGTAAATGAGTATTTCGAACACGAGCAGCAATTTTGAGAATTCGTATTGTCGAAGATCTTCGACGACCCATCTATGCATATACGCACGCGTAGCAGCGAATTGCAGGGAGACCAGGAACCGGCTGAAATTCTCATTAGTGTGAAGTGCAAGCCGCACTCTGTCGCCTCTACATTCCCCCATAAGACGGGGTACACGCGGCCGAGACGGCCACACGATATTGCAGCGGCGTCGGGGACACAGGATTCCTCGTACTGGAGATGTTCCATCGCATTAATTAGGTAGAAACATGGAACAGGGACCGCGCGACATTAGTAATTTTTACAGGAATACGCACGCGCACACCGTCCAGATTCATGTCGCGAGTGTCGCTGAACGAGTTCCCCTAGCGACGGAAGGACCTAATATGTACCCCTCCGATTTTAATATGCTCTTGCAGAATGACAGAGCGCGAATGACCGATGGCTAAGCGTAGAACTTCCGGTGTAGACGTTACATGATTTTGAAACTATAGATAATTTAAATTCAAAGAAAAATTAATCCGATTTGACCGAAAAATTGCTTAACTTTTATATCTGCACCAAACAAAATTTCATTTTCTGTACTTTACCAAGTAACAAATAAATGCACAAAGTTTCGTCGGTTTTTGAATTGTAAAGCGACTTGCAGGTCCAGTCTATAATAAAAGATTTTTAATATAAATTTCGACAAACCGTGAGAAACCTTTAACGAGGACATTCCGTGCACGACCAAAGGTTCCATTTAGACTGGACAGTTCTAACAGTCGCGAGTTCATTTTGAGCTACTTGTTGCAACCAGCAGTCGTCTTTTAACGCGAAAACGGTCGGACGAACTCAGCACAGCGTTTTGGACACGATGCAACGCTATGGAGAATGGAACAAGGACACAAGAAGGCAATCTACGCTTCTCCTGACAATACCGTTGCCAGCAATTTCGCGCGCTAAATCGACTTAACTTTCTAACGCGCGTTAGATTGCTTCAAAGATGTCTCCCGTCGGACGTTGACTTTACACGTGTTCGAGTAACAAAAATTTAACGATCTACGCCTTCGACGCAGGCATTTTTTAAACCATACACGAGCACACGCTCGAATTTGAAGCGTAAATATAACGCATCGACCGTAATGTTTATATTAAACCGAACGATTTAACGAGCAACTTTTAGACGCATTAATTTTCACCATCGATGCTCGTAGCATAGATTACGCCATAGAAGCGATAGCAACTCGATAACTCTTTAAATATTGATTTTAGCGAAAATTGGTCCGAGCTAATATATTAGTTCAAAGGGAACCGTATAATGCGTAATTAAAATTTGAATTTCGCCCATAATTTATTATCTTCTCCAAGTCGATTTGGTATATTCAAGCGCCTATGGAGTTTGGTCTGAATTAAATGTTGTGAACAATTTTGAAAGACATTCAATCGCCCCGTACGTTGACCCATCGATTATATTTGTTATAGAGAATAATTTTTAATGGGTTAAATCGTGCTTATGTTGTTTTTTAGTGTTATTTTTTTTATTGATATTTATGTGGGTAACTTTTACAGATTATCCGTCTTAATAATTCGAGTTTCTGTTTTACTAGAAATGTCTGCAAACCCGTACAAACGCGTCTTTGCGAATTCTCGTTCCGTGTTGTATTTCAATTTGCATTGTGCGCCTTGCTACAATTCCAATACAATCTCTCTCGGCGTAAGTTTTCTTATTCAGAGTGACACAAACAGAGCTTCTAATGAAACCCTGAATCGTAGAAGTAAATTTGCCCTTCTGAGTAATTTATAACTTGTAAGAAAACAATAAGGTTTCCCTAGTTCCCCTAATTTACAGGAGAAAAGACGGTTTGAAATAATAGTGATTCTAAATAAAAGAAACATGGAAACACCAATTATTCTGAGAATTAAAATACAATTAAAATTTATATTCACGTATGTGCCGAGTTGATCCAACAATTTGTTTGTTTTTTTTTCTTACGTTGAATTAAACAAAACAAATTATTTAAATATCCCAACATTTCAATTTATATTGATGCGAGAAGTCTGTAGATTTTGACCTGTTTTGGATACCTGGTGGAACACCTTTTACCGCGAAAGAAGAATTTTTATTTCATATTTGAAAAACGGCTGGGGTTTTTAAGTTCTGGATTTCCACGCGCGAAATTTGTACCATGAATTTGTGAATACTCTGTATGCATTACCACATAAAACTTACCGCTAGCACAATATAAAATGCAACCACGCGAACGTTGTTTATGCCCGTTAATTTAAAAGTTAGAACGAAAAAGACGCTCGCAGTTTTCAGCGCGTGCATTGGAAAATATGGAATAAGTCGAGCTGTTACCGGTGCATTGTAGCTTTTCGTTTCGGTACGGTGCACGCTGCATCCTTAAAACTTCCAAGCTGTCTTTTAGCGCGTAGAAACTCTTAATTGTTCCACGAGCCAGCCCCCCCGTGTGAAAAATGCGGTACGCGTGTGCATACTTGGCGAATTGTGGTTGTCGTTTCTTCGACATTTTTTGTTTCTCGAGATTTAAAAACTCTCGAAATTCTTTTTTCTCCGATATGTTGCATTCCGAAATAAATTACCTCGGACATTCGTGCGATTACGAGCGTCATTAAAAGGAAGTAAAATAAATGGAAAGGAATAACTTAAAACTTCTACGAAGATTGAATTTCTCTTCGTGAAATGGGGAATGGTGAAACGATTGAAAATTTTTTCCAGAATGACAGGAATAGATGCTTGTTTAGTCTCGAAGGTTCTACGGAGAAAAAATGTGGCCAGAGATGCGTAAAAAAAAGAAAAGTAATTTTATTAAATTATGAAACGTTCACTGTGCTCGTTTGGTCCCCAGACGTTTCCGCCATCCTGACGGACACCGTGGATGGGGTGTCGTTATCCGTACCTTTTTTCTCGGCTGGTCCCCACGTCTTCGCGGGTCGAAACAAACTCCAATCCCTCTGCGAACAATTAAAACAAAAGTGAAATTCTACGAACAACAGCCTATTCCGAGTTCGTGCAAACAATTCTGGTTGACTTTCCGGCACCGACGTTCCGATTATGCTGGCAGACCGTCAAGCTCGACGAAAGATTCCATGGATTTCGTTCGGGATACGGTACGTAAATTGTTTGCGAGAGCCAATATGATTTTCGGAATCATTCGACCGCTTAAACGGATTGAATCCTTAAACGGAGCGCGTTCGTGGAATAATTCATGAAGTGTCTGGTCTGCCCTATAAATGTGCTTTGCAACTGATCTAAATTCTGACGGTTATAATGTACAGTGAATTCAGGATCTATTCACGTATGTTAATTGGTGATTGAAAAATACTGTTACGTCATTGTCATCCCGAATATTAGGAGTAAAATGGATTTTCATACAAAGAAACATACAAAAGTTATTTTCTCAATAAAAATATATGAATTATTAATTTTTGAAAATACCTTTTAGAATGTTTTTCATAGGATTGTGCTCGAGAGGAAGTAAAAGGTCCCGCAAGTGATTCAACCGTTACGTTTTAATTTTCCAATAAAGCCATATTTTGTTTATACATATACTACCTTGTTTCCATCACGACGACTATAAACTCACAACTGCGATGGATATTTATGTTATTGTTTACACGATAAATCCGTTTTATTTACGTTACGAACCATTCCTCATATTACCTTTTTCATTTGGTTAATCCAGTTTGTTTTATGCGACCAATATGTCGTTATATATTGGTGGAAAGTAATTTATACAAATCTAGAATATTGATAATTGAAAGAAATATTTTCTAATATTCTTCCCGAGTACAGAAAATATTACTCGCATCTTAATTTTGTTTCCATTGCTTCGAACGATTTCTGTCTTTTGTGGAGCAGACTGTTGCAAGAGGGAAAGAATTTCGAAACAAAAATAAAGTTGAAAATACTGGTCTATCAATGTGTTTCTTGGAAGTTGTTCTATTTTATAAAAGAGTGATTGGAAGCAAATGCAATGACAATGGAAATTAATTTATATCCTTTCTGTACGATATCATCAACGACATTGTTTAAACGTATGAGAGTATCGTTTAAATTTAAAAACGAGAGACGCTGATAACTTTAACATGGATCCAAAGAGATCACAGGTATCGAATCGCAAGAGGTTGCGTCGTTTTCTTCGCGGAGGATCGCTTCCTCTTCGTTTGGCTGGTCATATCTCCGCGAACCGTCAAGTACTAGTTTCGAACTGTGCAGGGAGTCGAAAACAGGAGGAAAGGAGATAAGAGTAATAGTAAATTTATCGGGTAACACAAAGCGGAAGCGGTCAAGAGAGGCGAGGCGGGAAAAGGGCAAAAGTACGGCAGAAATAGGTTCGATCTGAACGATGGAGCGCGGGCGAAACTTTTCGTTTCAAAGTACGATTACCTACGTACCGTGGAAAAACTTGTATTAAGACGTTCGAAGTTCGTGAGATTTTACGGCGAAACGGGCAACTTTTAAAACGGTGCACACCTCCCAGGGGCAACCAACGCTGGACACTACAGGGCTCTTAAAAAAGTTGCAATTCGTCATAATTCCAAGTATCATATGCGTGTAAAGTGTCTCTCGGTAAGCACAACATGCAAAGAATTCGTTTTAAAAAATTAAACAATCCACAAAATATCCAATGGCGCACCGGTTCGTTTAATTTGCATTCGCACGATTAGCTTTAACAAAAAGTAACGTTAATTTGCTTTGTTCCTGCACCGATACTTTGTAGCAATCTTGATAAGTGAAAACATTATTTGTAATAAGTTAAAGAAATATTAAGCATCGATAAAGAAGGTTGTTAATATGAAATAATTACGGAGTACATGTCAATATTCAACGAAAATGAATTAATATATGATCATCAACCTGAAGAAACTGAATTAAATTTAATTCTTTTTTCAGTTATTAATTACATACTAATTGACACGAAAATTTAAATTAAGTTTGCTTTAAAAATTTGTTGAATCCAAAACTAAAAAAAAAGAAAAAGATTGCCAACAACACGCGGTGTTCCCAAGCGGTCACCCATCCAAGTACTAACCGCGCCCAACGAAGCTTAACTGCAGTGATCGGACGAGAACTGGTCTTTACCAACGTGGTATGGTCGTTGACGAATAAATAGATAGCTTACATTAATATAATGTACACATATGTCTTATTGAAGTCTATTTAAAATAATAAATAAATCATATATTACGCTAACAATATGTCATATGCCTCTATTAAAAATATTTCTCCGCATTGGATGTTAAACGAAAATATGAAGAGATTCAAAAAGCAATAGCCGTTCAATTCCGATAATTTTAATGTCAAAGGAACAAAAATAAATTTCTGCAGATGCTTTAAAGGAAAGTAAGCTTCAATAATTTTATAAATTAAAATAATGAGACTGTGCTTTAAGAATGTCTTAAATCCAAAATGCAAAAAAAAGAAAAAGATTGCCAACAACACGCGGTGTTCCCAAGCGGTCACCCATCCAAGTACTAACCGCGCCCAACGAAGCTTAACTGCAGTGATCGGACGAGAACTGGTCTTTACCAACGTGGTATGGTCGTTGACGAATAAATAGATAGCTTACATTAATATAATGTACACATATGTCTTATTGAAGTCTATTTAAAATAATAAATAAATCATATATTACGCTAACAATATGTCATATGCCTCTATTAAAAATATTTCTCCGCATTGGATGTTAAACGAAAATATGAAGAGATTCAAAAAGCAATAGCCGTTCAATTCCGATAATTTTAATGTCAAAGGAACAAAAATAAATTTCTGCAGATGCTTTAAAGGAAAGTAAGCTTCAATAATTTTATAAATTAAAATAATGAGACTGTGCTTTAAGAATGTCTTAAATCCAAAATGCAAAAAAAAGAAAAAGATTGCCAACAACACGCGGTGTTCCCAAGCGGTCACCCATCCAAGTACTAACCGCGCCCAACGAAGCTTAACTGCAGTGATCGGACGAGAACTGGTCTTTACCAACGTGGTATGGTCGTTGACAAGTAAATAGATAGCTCACATTAATATAATGTACATATATATTATTATTCAATTATATTTAAAATAATAAGTAAATCATATGTAACGCTAATGCTAGTTTGAACGATTTATTTATAATCTATAAAACGATAGATATATTCAGCTACGAAACTAATTTTCCTGCCTCTCTTTTCACATTTTTGAACAAAAAACTAGTCTAAGGTTTGATTAACTTCTGTTCGAAACCTTTTTTCCACAATTTATCGGGAATGCCTGCAGAATCGTTACGACAGTTACGTGCTGCACCCAATTTATGGTCACTCGAAAACATGTTGCACTGTACGTGTTACTCGAATTCGAGTGGCATAGCAGCGAACGTGTTAAGAGAGCCTTAAAACAGGCTGTTACATTCGGAATCATAGCAATTTCAGAAGAATAAGAAGCGACCCGTTTCGACTGAAAATGTATCGTAAAAACAGAGCACGGTTTGCATAATAATCTCTAGATTATCGAGCATTATTCCAGCCGCTGTCTCTGTATAACTCGTGTCCCGTTACTCGTACCATGAACTTCGTGATTTGACGTTCGTCAAATTAATGCTCTTATTCTACGTAACGATCGAAATTCACGAGATTTAGTGGTGTCGTTATTACCTCTGTGACAAACTTACCGGTCCTTTCCACAGCCGTCGGATGAAAAAGAATGGCATCGGGGCGAGAGTCGACAGCCCGATCAGTATTCCAATCGCGTTCGCCCAGTCAGGGAATATGTACGTGCCATAATAACCCAACTGATACGTACATATTTGATACACGAACACCCCCTGCGGACGAAAAAAAAGGAGAGAAACTGTTATTTCTTCGGAGCGAAACACCTCGCGGGAGCAGTGATCTTGTGGTACACCGGCCAATTAAGAATTTAATATTTTTAATCGAAATAAACACCGCCCTGTTTTCCCCGAAGGCTGTTTATAACTCAAAAGCTCAGGTTCGGGACGAAATGAAAATGTTTGCTCCTTCTATCGAGAAATACTTTTTACCAGATAGAATCAACCGAAACATTTACGGATAAAACTCTGTGGTCAGATACGGGACCTTCTAAACATAATTTAAAAATATTTTTATACATCGAACCACCTGGAAAATGCAATTATACCTTTTTTTTTAAGCAGAATTAAATTTATTAGTTCGAACGTTATTACGGTTAAGAATTTTCTAAATTACTTATGCGTGTCTGTAAATGTTATAGAATACTTATTTACACGTAATAATTTATGTAATTGCCGGAATGAATTTTTCTAATATTGCTTACTAGTGTGTACACTATGTTACGTTTTATTAAAAACTATACAGAATTTCTTTAAAAGATTTTCTTGTATATTTAATACCTCTTAAGTATCGGGAGGCTAAAACTTTCGAGGGATGTTACTTCCCTTAAACTTTAATTTCCGCAACGAAAAAAGAATTATTTATTCATTATTTTTTACCATTTTAAAAACTTGCAAAGTTTCGTCGGAGCCTGTTCCTTGTAAGAATAATCTTCGCAGCAATAATGAAGTTTCCTTATCATCATTAGTCAAAGTATCTACATTAACATTTTTCTTACTTTCCTTTATATTCTATACTTTATTTTTTATTTGGCGAATTGTTTAAATAAAAACAAATGTACAAATAAAATTTTAAATTCACTTTTCTCCGACATATCTGAACTCTAATTTCGGTGTAGAGAAAAATCTTTTCAAAATAGGGGTGATTTAAATTTAACGAAGACTTCCTTTGAAACGAATCGTTCGATTCGCTAGCGTAATTGCTTATGAAAATTAGATGATCGATGACCCCATCACGCGCGCACTCTTATCGAGAAACGACGATAACTCAACCGGAGATCGCGCTCGATTGGCCACGAAACAAAGCTCGATCGTGTAGTTTTCGTTTTTTATCCGACCGGTCGGCAAAAAGCAGAACGTGATCGAGCGAGGCCCATTCTTTTTCCGGCATCAACTTGATTCGTGTACGGGACAGAAATTATGCTATTGATTCGTTCGGTTATTTTAAAGAGGCATTCCGGTCTGATTACGGAAAAACTAGGACATTTTAAAAATGTTATTGAACGAAAAGAATTTAGGACACTGGTCCGAAACGTTGCACCGTCGTTGATAGATGTCTTATAAAATTCCATTAATTTATTAACACAAAAGTACACGGTAGTTCTAAAAATATATACTCCCGAATCATTTTAAGAAAACTGTTGTGTTTGACAGAATCAGAAGAATCGAAAGGAAAAGTAATTTGAAAATAGAGAATAAAATCGATTTTAAAAATGTTTAGATTACGCGTGCACTAGATTACGAATCGACTACAGTGTCTACTTGTCTTGGTATTTGTAAACATGAATGATGATAGTACGGTGTTATCTGCTTTCCGTGGATCTTAAGACCTTGTAACTATGAGTTTATGTCAAGTTATCGTTGATAGCAAAGTATGGCAACCGGGAGTATACTAATATGCTGTTTGTATTAGGAGCTTATGACGACAATGCATCTGCTGCTCGTATGCAACTATCCACCTACTGTTCTAACTATTACACGGCGGATTCGTGTATCAGCATGATGGCCATCCGTCAATGTTTGCACTAAATCATTATTTTTTTTTACTTAACTTTGATCTTTTGGTACATTTATAAATTATCCTAAATAGTTTCACACAAATGCATCGTTTCTATTTTTCAACATTTTTTATAAAATCAAACAATATTAAAATATCCCCAGAATAATCGATATAACAACAAATAATTCACCGAGCAGCGTGGTTATTTTGATACAATTCGCGATTGTTAAAATAGAACGGAATAGGAGTTTGGAAACTTCTCGAAATATTTTAATTTTAGAATTAGAGATACTGGAAATACTACAACGTTATATTGAAAAACTGTACAAATTTGAGTGTACATAAGAGATGCTATTTTTAAGTAACATCTGCCGAGAATATGTAGGTACATATGACAAATATAGAAACGGGTGAAGGCCCTAGAAGTTACCACATTGTCATGAATTTTCTACGTTTCTGTCGACCACGTGCACTACTAGAGTCTTACTGTTTTGTCCTCAATAGCGATTGACGTATCATAAACCCAGGGGTCGACGTTTGCACTTTGTGGCCTTGCCAGATGTATAACTTCCCAAGCCCAATTTTCTAATACTAGTAAAAGTCGTCCATGAATGACTTTCACGATGCCTGAACTCTGTAATACATATTACAAAATATAATTGGACACACTGCACGTATCGTAAAATGTTTTCGACCATGAGATTTGGGTCCTCTTCGTGCAAAAGTCAATTCAAATGTAAATTAAACGAGAAACGTGTGCACGAAGTTATTGATTATGCAATGTATTCGAGTTACCATTGGAACGTTCTTTTTACTTTCATCATTCTTTAAAACCCCTGTACGCTTTTGTGGTGTAAATTGTGTAGCTACTCGAAACTATCGGATCGCTTGGTAGGTTAGGCGGTAATTTGAATATTCTGATTGGAAGAATGCAAATCAATATTTGGATCTTTCGCTAGGAAAGAGTCTAATTTAAACCTGACGCTTTAAAAAATTATAAAACTTTGAGAATAGAGGTTACTTGGTACGTTCAACCCTCGTTTTTATTTCATTTTTCGCGAACGGTAAGCGAAACGAATCAATTTATGTTGAAAAATTACTTCCTTTTAAACAGACCACTCGGTTCGCAACTGAGAATTATTGATTCCCAATAGTCTCAAGATGACTTTATACAGCGGAAATTTACGAACAATGCGCAAAATTCGGCATCCGATTGGAAGACGTGATATTATATCGGATAAGAAAACATAAAATAATATTACACTAAAAAGAAAAGCAAAATAATCGAGAACAGATAGCTGTGTTAGAGACATGTAAAAGCACGATAAAATATAATTTATAAATTCGGGAAGTAAGGTTAACTGCATACATGAAAAACTTTATAACGAGTGTTTTGTGTGAAACAAAAGCTCCATTATAGAAATTGAATTTCAGAACGCCTATATATGATTATTATTAAATTAATTAACTTTTGCTGCATCTTGTATAAGAAAATAAAAATTGTAAAAAAATGGAGGCCTCGGAGTATGTTTTCCACGATAGTTTCAACGGTAGGTCGTTGAACTCGTTAAAGTCTTACCAAAGCCTCCACTGAAAATGAAAATATTTCTACGGTGCGACACCCTCGCCAAATCGCGAAAATATAGGGAAACATTGTTTTTAAATTCTGAGAGCAGAAAATAATATTTCGTGTAATAAAGTTAAGCGAAACACCATCGCAGAAGAACGGAGAAACAACGTAAAGAGAAGGATGAGTAGTTGTACCTCATTAAAGCGATCATCCCCTCGAGCTAGTGTCATTCCGAGCACGGACGTGCACAATGGATACGCACGTGACGTAACCTTACTTTCACAGTCGCGATGGAAAATGAAAACGACAGTGCGGACGCCGACAATTATTCTTTCTCGTCGATTTATATAAGTACTCCGTAATCGCAGCTTTTCAATATTCCCCGGTAACTTCCATTTTCACTGCGCCGAATTACGATTAATTATTTGCCACGGTACAGTTTCTGCAAATGGAGGCATTTAAAAACGTCGCGATTCTTTTTTAGAAGGGAAGTGTCGTTGGCAAAAGGTTTTTAACGCAGAGAACAAACAAAAGGGACGACACTGTTATTTCCATGATGTTCTTGGTGAAATGTAAGTTGCATTACCAAGAAGTGAAAAAACGCGCGAGCGAACATTATGCATTCTTTATGACATCCTCAGCCCGACAGAAATAAAATCTGACCGTTTAAGCCAGCCCGCGCTGGTAAATACTAACGTTCGTCGCGACGAGTACTAAATCTTCATTATCGTTATGACGATTTTAACCAGATTATCATTATGACCATTGATTAATCGGGAAACGCAGCGAACAAGATTAGTATAATTTATCGTTACGTAAATATTCAATTATACGAACGATGTGGAAACATAATTGTAACATAAAACGTGGGGAAAAATAACTGTTTTGATATTAATATCTATAAGAATATTCTGAACTGTAGAATCAACATTTTTTGCTATCGAACTATGCATACAACGATTGTTTAAACCTATTATTTATTACTTCCAATCTCTTTTTCCACTAACTCCCTACTTTCTTTTCGTAAATCTGCGCCAACATCTACATTCTTACTTTAATTCTAAATTTGTTTTTTCCGCCTCTATTAAAGGCTATCTCCCCTTAATCAAAAATAAATATCATATACCAAACCTGTACACGAGAGCAGAAATTAATGCAGACCGAATCGAAAGGGTTGGTCGAAGAAGACGAGCGACGCGTCGAACTGACCAGCGGTCAAAAACGATCGCCCTCGATAAAATGATCGATCGTTTCGGCTGACCCAAGTCTGGCACTCAGGACTCTCCAGCGTAGGGTCGAAGATCGAGTGGATGGGACGTCGATGGGCGTGTTACGATGGGAGCTGAATAACGACGGTTCGAAATCTTTTCCGACCGATGCTCGACGTAATGACGAAAATCGCCGAGAGCGCCGCGAGTAATCATTACTTCGGTGCTTCATCGCGGCACCGTGGATGTTTGGTGATCCAGATTCTCGCGAATTTGCGTCCGTCGAGGGGCGGAGGCCCGCGCACGATGAATCATAATTATTTGGGGTACGATTTTTTTCAATAGCCTCGCGGGTACGCGACGCGCCTACACGCGCGAGAAGGGCCTGCGCCGACTGCGAGGTCATTTGCTAAACGAGATGCAGAGAGGGAGGAGGGAGGTAGGGAGGAAAAAAAAAAGAAAAAAAGAAAAGCGACAGAGAGCCGCGGAAAAAAGTGTAAAACAAACGGAAAATCAATAATGGAGTACGACCGTCGCGCTAAATACTTGTGGACCGGAAAGCAAATCCGCGGTAATACCGTCAGTGAGAACGCAACCGGATGGAGGCAGGATTAACGTCTTAACCGTAAGGCGAGCGTCGGGAAGATGGTGGTACACAATCAACGAATGAACGCTTATGTCCGCGAGCAAGTTTTGCTTAATCCCTTGAACCCGACGTTGCCAGTTTTTTTTTTATATAATTTTCGACTTTTAAATTGCTTATTGTTCTAGGTGCAATCGGGATCACTGATCGAGATAGGAGAATTGAAAAGTAACTGAAAAATGCCCTGTTTTTCGAGTTATGGGTGACTGAAGAAAATGGTCGAAACGTCCATCGCGACTCGATTAAAGCGACTTGATGAATAAAATAAGTACGAAGTATGTGGTTTAATCTATTACGATGAGATGAACAAAAAGTGTAGATTGTACAATTATCAAAAGTATGCCACTAAACCGAGCACTCGTGTTAACGGGATAGTTTTATTAAATCGTTCGAAGGTTTCATTCGATTATTTAACGACGAACCGAATTAATACTGAAAGCAATGAGGTTAATGGGCCATCAACTAGTAGAGTGACGTACTGGGTCACGTAACTGACGAGGTTGGGGTATTTCGATGAAGACAAAAGAATGTAGGTAATATATACATTGCATCCGCGGAATGGTTTTGTTTAATCATTCGGAAGATTCGTTTGATTATTTAACGACGAATCGAATTAATACTGAAAGCACTGGGGTAATAGACCATCAACTAGTAAAGTGACATACTGGGTCACGTAACTGACGAGGTGGGATTATTTCGATGAAGACAAAAGAATGTAGGTAATATATACGTTGCATCCGCGGGATGCTTTTGTTTAATCATTCGGAAGATTCGTTTGATTATTTAACGACGAATCGAATTAATACTGAAAGCGCCGGGGTAATCGATCATCGGCTGGTAAAGTGACGTACTGGTCACATTACTGGTCACGTAACTAGCTGGGTAGGATTAGTTTGATCAGGATCAAAAATAAGCGTAATTTACACATTATCCAACTGAACACGAGAATGTGATTTAACGTCAGTTTACCTTGTTATGATACTGCAAATTCTGAAATTAATGGAGATTACTTTTCATCTGAACAAAGATTATAAAAGGAAAAAATTGCAATAGAACTACATTGTCGTCTCCATGTTTATGATTCTTTAACGCTTTTCTGAAGCTAATTACACGCTGACAAAAGTACAGAATAAAACTTATAAAGAAGTTTTACACCCGATTTCAATTACCATTATCGCGTACAGTAACCGTATGAATAAAATGTATAATTCAATGACTTTAGAACGAAAACTGGCTACATTTATTTAAGGAAATACGTCGAACTGGTACAATGAATTCTCCTCGTTTTGAAGGGTAGCAACTTTGAAATTCAATCAAGTTCGAGGGCTCTCAATTGAAACTCCATCAACGAATCCAACATGTTTTTATCGTGATCTCATACAAAAGAGTTATAAACAGATATAGCTCATTAATATAAATCTTTATTCATCGAATGATAAATATAGGAACGCTTTCTAAATTTCCCAGAACCATTTCTTCTATTCAGTAAACTTTTTCACTGTTCCCACATATTGGCAAAATTAATGCGTAAGAATGTTTATCGGATCATGTAAAAATGTCGTGATACTTGTAAACAAATTGTATGTTCAGTAACGAATTAATATTCAAACATTGTTCTCAAGCTAGAAGATAATACATGCGAAGATAACACGGTGAATGTTTTAAACTCATCACGATTATTCCAACCATCAAGCACGGTAGTGGGTCTGTATTAATTTGGGGTTGCTGCTCGTTATTCGACGGTAAGTAACGTACACTTTGACGGGGGCGCATTTACGGGAGCAGAATATATAAATATTTTATAACAACACCTAACAAAATCTTTTAAGTATAAAATTGCGAAAGAATTTTTACCAAAAAACTACAATACTCAATAATTTAGCTAATATGTTAACAAACCTACTCCCTCAACCCTTATACACGCACAACACTTTTTTTTAAATAAAAACAAGACAAAGACAAGACAAGAGAAAGACAAGATACTTAGTACTATCTACAATCTTCTGGCTCTTCAAAAAAAATTTAACATTTGTTTGAAAAGCAACATTACTTTGTAATAGCTTTACAATCATTGATGCCGTCGTTGCAATTTCTGAAGTAATGTATCTTGTCAATCTTCTCTTGTCTTGACAAGACAATAATTTTGGACGACTTCCAAAAGATGCAGGGACTTCATTACAGTATTTTTACAGTGCAGTACTTTGCTGCTTACTGTATTTCTGTAAACAGAATCGCGTCCCCCGTGGATCGGAACGTAGAAACAATTTACGAGGGTCCCCAGAATAGTGCAGTCGGAGAGACACGACCATAAGGTACTGTCGAGCGAGCCTTTCGTTACCACTGCTCAAAATGCCTTCCCGTTGTTGTCCGGAAATAGTAAAACAAGCTCGATATTGCGGGGGTTAATTATCAGCAAATAACTTCGGCATAGTTTCTCGGCCCGTACGCCAAAGATCCGAAAGCGGACACGGGATCGCGTTAAGACACGGACGCTTGGGTGTTTGCGATCGCAATGCACTTACCAGACAAGTGATAGGCGCGAGCACGACCCAGCTGAACCACCAATAGTTGTGGAGTAAACAGCCGAACCGCATTTGCATTTCAGCAATGTTACGCAGGAATTTGTTGCAGCCGTAACACCAGCTTGCCACGCCAACCTCGGCGACGCCGATCAATAGTATCGCCCAAGAAGCGGTGTTCCAGTCCATCAGCGTGAACAGGTAAATACCGCCGTCGAACACCATCGGTATAGCGAGGAGCCAGCAAGTGACGCATATGCCCAACACCACGTAGCTCTCGTGTTTTCGTAAATCTGGTCGCAGGTCCAATATGGCGGTGTTTATCGCCTGCACGCCTGCGAACTGTGTATCGTAAAAAGTAACGACCGACCGTGTTACTCCGGGATTCGATGCTCGCCCGCCGGGGTTTCTCGTTACCCTTTCCAACAGTCTTTTTTTTTTACATTCTTTCCCCTCCGTTTCCCCGCCAGAAAATCCCCCGTTTCTTTGTTTTGACGCAGTCCGTCTTAATTACCCTTCAGCGTGCTGACTGTACGGCGGACAGAGGAGCATGCAGAAAACAAAGGCTCTTTTCGCTCCCTTTACCCCGGCTCTATCTAACCATGTCTGTCTTTCTCCCCGCCTTTCTTCCTGCCATGCTCCTTTACCTTTCCGCGCTCTGCCATTCGAAGGAAAAAAAAGGTAGGAAAGACGAGGACGAAAAGAAAGGTGTGGATTTCACTGGGACGGCAAACCATAACTCTTTCCATGATATACGAACCCCGGGGGCGGGTGAGACGAGGAGGTGATGCAAAAGTAACAGAGAACGATCGTCTGGCTACTTGCAAGCACATTTTCGCCCGCAGCTCTTTTGACGAATACAGCGACCGGCGTTCCGGCTCTACGAGGCACTTGAATGGCGCCTTCTTACCACCGGCTTCGGTAGGACGAACAATTTTTACGCGCTCTTTCTCGCGCGGAATAACACCGCGCAAAGAACAAGGCCGCACTTTAAAAGTTTACGCAACATGGAAAACACGATGCCCTTCGCTTTCAAAGTCTACGCCGCGGTTCCCATGTCTGCCTTCGTTTTTCTTACTTTCGACTCTTCCTTTTTTTCGCCCGCCGCAGCGTTTCCCTTTAATTTCAAAAGTGTTCCCTATTTTCAAATCATCCCCACGAAAGCCAAAGGGAAACATCTCGGCAAGAAACCCGCCCTCGATCGATCGTTACTTTTACCCTAGCCCGTCGTATCGTTTAATGTACTTACTTGGCTACCAAGGCCAAGGATGAACAACATGATAAAGAAGAGGACCGCCCAGACGTTTGGCCAAAGCATCCGCGCCACGGCTTCCGGGTACGCGATAAAAGCCAATCCCGCGCCGCTTTGGACCACTTCGTGGATCTCCATCTGCATCTCGTGGGCGAGGAATCCCAGGATTGAGAATATCACGAAACCCGCGAAAATCGAGGTGAGCAAGTTCGTGATCGTGACAAAGATCGCATCTCTGAGGAGAATAAACGGAAAAGCGTCGATAGTACATGGTGAATAAATTAGATAGCGGTGGATATACATACATATGCGAGGGTCAATTGGTTTTTTAAATTTCGTTTAGAATTTTTCACATACAATGTTACTTTAGCGCCATTTTAGCTATACGACTTTTCTTACGGAGTTTTCTCCGGAATTAACTACGGTATCGACTTGACACAAAATTCGTTTTCGAGGGCGTTTTGTTTTCTATCCGATGAAAATTAAACAGTATTTATAATTTGGAAATTAAACAATATTTAGAAAATTTTAACAGTATTTATTAAAAAAAATGCTGATTATTTCATAAGTCTCGGTCATTACAGGAAGTTTCAATTCCATTCTCTTCCAATAAACGATGCTCTCTATTGTACAGTTCTCGAACTAATGTTCGCCTACATAAATCCGTACGTTGGAAATCCTTCAATCGTATTGTCGCGCGACGTCAATAGTTAAATCAAATCCAAGCATGTGTGCTTCCGGCTGCCTTGGTTGTTAAGTCTGGGCGAGGATTGTAAAATATAATAGAATCCCGATTACCGATCAAAAGCTCCGTTCGTTGTATTGCATCGATAAGTGGAAGAGATGGTCATTAAGCAACTAACGAAGTTGAAGGTAGAAGCACTTCATTACAGTGACTTTACGTAAATAGTGATGGTACACCATTATATTGTTTACACCTATATGTGTTTGATAAATATCAAGAAATTTGTACAATTTGACACACCCATTCTTAAGGCTGAATTTTATCTCCTGGACAACCGTTTCGATAAAATTGGTGTAAAGTATCCAATAGTAGAAAGTTCAAACTTTAAAATGCGTTTTTTCTCATTGAATTTCAATAAATATTAACGAAATCATGGGTGTTTGATGGGTGCGGCGTGTATTGTTACAAGCTGGTAAATTGACGATTCTACCATAGCCAATGAAATCTGCGTTCCTTCGACTCGCCAATTCACCAGCTCGCAGTAGTATTCCTTGATCCTCGTCTCCGTGGGAAGCATCTGGAATTGTATAAAGCGCGTCCACGCGATAAGGTCAGCGCAACACAGTTGGATGACGAGGAAGAACAATTAATAGCCGCCAGTAAAACTTGGCCAGCCGGCGCGACGAATTATGCTACCAGGCACTTGCTCATTCGACTTGCGCTACGCGCACTGATATATATGTAATTTATACGCGATGCAACGTGCAGCGAATTGTATCGCCGCGGGGAAACTTCAGCCTCGGATAATAATGCTAATTATGACTTTGAGCAATATTTCGAGGACGTGAACGCTCCTGGCCCGGTGTATCGTTGCACTAAAACGTAACTGTTGCCCGGGACGGTTTGCCTTATGACTGGCATCGTGCAAAATGAAACATCTGACAGACGCTTTGCGAATGTGTGTCGCGTGTATGCGTTTACTGTCGAAAATACCTTGGCGAGTCCAGACGCTGTAGTTTAAGCATTATGCAGGGAATTACATCATTAGAAACTCTGTCTGGTTAATTCGTTCCCCGGAATTCCGACCTGCGGATGTATTTTCGTTTGCAACGCGACCGCCAGTGCTCCTGGATATTAATGCCCTTAGCATCGTCCAAACCTCGCGACCCCAAACCAAGAAAATTGTATACAGCCGCCCTGGATCGTATTTTTATCGTTTGATCGTTTAACGCGCTACGAAAAAGAAATTGAGTTCGCGAATACGTTTGATGGAATATAAAATTAGACCAGCGTTCTCCCAGATCGTAAACATCTAATTTTCACTGTTTTTCGTAGTTGTTTAACCGAGCACTCGACAATGTGAGTTTTCTATTACGCTTTAATCGCGCCTCAACTTTTTTACGCTTCCGTACTCGCCTGTGACAATTGTTGCTGAAGTTGCTGTAACTCGAGAGAGTGATTAGAGATCCGCAACCGATTCCGAGTGAATAGAAAACTTGGGAGGCAGCATCCGCCCAGACCTTGGCGTCTCCCAACGTTGACCAATTGGGCTTGATGAACCAAGCAGAACCTTTACCGGCGCCAACCAGCGTGACACCTGAACAAACGAAATTGTTTAATTGGTTAATGGTATTAACATGTACTTACATTGCCTCAGACAAATTTTAGGACAGTTAACAAACGTCATTTAAATCTAATAACAATTCATGCAGTTTTCGAAACATATAAAAAACTTTCATTTTACATTCCACAAGATAGAAGTATAGTAACTTAATTAATAAACAATGAAAGTGATAGATCCTTTCTAACGAGTAAAAGAATCAGAACGAAAAATTTCCTATCTCAAAATTCAATGCATTATAGAAGAATATCTTTGATAATAGCTTTCAAAATGTCGTTATTGAATACCGTACAACAATACGTTACGTTTTATTTTTAACAGAAATTTTCGTATATTTTTCATCAGAACATAATACAAATCACCGAATAATTACTTGATACTCATGGTCGATCTGGTTGGTATTAGTGATAAAATTTCAAACAAAATATTATTTTATTAAATTTAAAACAAAGGAATATATTCGATGAACGGAATTCGAACCCGTGACCTCGATTGTACGAACTATCTGCTTATAACGTTCGTGCCAAGGCAACTTCGATAACAGGAATTAATGGGCACGACCAAAATTAAGCAAACTTTATTCGCGAATAACAAATAAAGACTTTGGATCCATTTTGTAAATTATAATATCCGTTCGTGGATTCTATTTTTCGAACGTATGTACGAACGAAATTGCCTAAATAAAACTAATGAGTATAAAATTGTGTTTTGTTATTCGTGATTAAAATTCGTCCAACTCTGTGCACAAGGTATCAAAATTATACGTAGGTCAAGAACAGCTTTAATATTTCAATTGTTCCTATATCGAAAACTATCGAATGTCGAAAATTGTATACAAACCAACAGAGACTTTTACTCTACCAATGTACAAAAACACGTTAAAGTTGGGATGGTACCGATTGTGTCCTTTTTAGTGAAATTAAAACAACAACGGACAAATGACTGAAACTTCAAAGCGAGTGGTGGGGATGGATCTAAAGCTGTTACCGAAGTAAAAATCCGAATTTTTAACGAAACGTTACTGTATAGAGTTTTAAATTCTAATATGTTAGAAAGCTTACCAAAAGGTAAAAAGCATTTTAATCTCTTTTCCATCAATGTAAATCGGTTTCAAAGAACCTTGTCCATACTGTTACGAATGTGTAGGTGGGCTTCGATTTCCGATTTGTGGAATGGACATTCCAGGTAAATGCTCAAGCTGATTGGCGAGGACTCCAATGCATTTCTAGTAGCATGTGTATAGTCCTTTTTCTTGTTTAAACCACGTATCTCGATTACAGCGTGCACTAATTTTGGCATCTTCGCGGTTAATTAATTTTATATCGTGAATAAATACAGTAGGAAAGTAAATAGAATTTTTCGATCGACCGTGCTTTTTCGCTCTTAAATGTTTGGAAACTATCATAGGCCCTTAAGTCGTCCAAAGTTCCTGACTGAAGTTTATTTTAGAGGATTAGCGAAGCAATCTTCGACAAGACTCTTCATATATTACAACCCAATAGTTTGGACACTGTTTGGAAAAGCAACGTCGAATTGGAAACAACGAGTTTCGCGGAAGAAAGATTTTTCGAGATTTCAAAATCACATTCGCCCTTCTAAATCTGACCATACATAGTTTTCGTTTGAACTTATCAATTTGGTAGAAACAAAAGCAATATTTGGATATTCGAAAATCGAATTCCGATAAATGAGAGGAAACCTATACCTGGTACTTGAATTCGAAACATACTTGAAGTACGATGCAATAATGCACTCGATTGGAGAGCGATCTCTCTACTGTCTCAAAGGTTCTACGGAGCATAGGACGATACGCTTGGATAATCCTGATTTCCAGACCACTCGCTCCACTGGACGTCTATTGATGAACTTCATTTTTCAATTGACCCCGTGGAAAGAAAGGAAATCGCAAAGTCGACGATCTCGATGAAACTGGGAAATCACTGTCTCGTCCGATCTAACTATTGGAAAATTTAATATTCAGCATTGTCCAACGCCTAAGAATGACAACTATGCCGAATAAGTTTGTTCGTAAAAAATGCATAATTTGATTTCTAAAGACAGGAATTCCTTTGAATTAGTTTAAATTAGCGTTTCTAATCAAAAGTGAATATAAAATTTATTTGTATTATTCACATATGGTAGAATAAAGTTCGAGAATTGTTTTGACCATATCGTGTATGATTTTTTTTTTAAATTAGTAGAAATTACGTACTTTTCCATTGATTTGACCAGAAACTACCCTTAAATAGTAATTTCTATTCTATAAATACTGTTGGAATACAATAACTGCAACTTAAGTATTATAAAATTTGTTGTGTCTTTTAAAGATAATATTTTTTCCAGATAGACCTAAGTAACTTTAAGTAATTGTAAGTGTATCTATTGAGCGTGTATATAAATGTCCTTACGAAGGATGTATAGGGGAAAAAGGTAGCTGAAAACGAACCATGAAAGAGAGAGCTTAAGGAAATTACGATAAAAGCCGTTTTATAATATTTTAAAATTATGCTGGTTTTGTTATTTACTTTTTAACTTGTTCGTGAAGGTATAGACTTAGTTCCGCGTCACGATTTAATCTGAAAAAAGGTATTTTCTTTTGCAATATTATATTTGCTCTTTCTTAACGGGATACGCGATAGGACCTACCTATAAAGACGTGAAAATAATTCACTACTGGGTACGTAGCGGTTTTCGTTCGTGTATAAACGTTTGCGTGGCGAAACTGCACGGTAACGTATTTCAAACTTGACTACAACTCGAATTAATTGGATTTCGACATAAATAACAATTCACAATGAATTTCGTTCACGGATCATAATATTAGCCTGAAGCACATTATGAATGATTTATGTTCTGACACATTATTTAGTCGCTAATACGCAAATCGATGTAATCGCAAACTTGATTACCATACGACAAACAATGAAAGTTTTATTTCAATTTTTAACTCCTATTTTTGGTTTAATATCACATGAAAATATATTGTTATAACGTGTATCATCGAAATGTCAATAAAGCGACAATCAAGGAATGTGAATAAAAAACATTCGTATACAGATCTCGTTTATAAAAATGATTAACAAATAATACAAAATTTGTTTACAAAATAAAAATTTGTTGTGTACCGTTAAAACATTTCAAATTAATTGCAGCCAATTTAGTCCGTACGAACGCGTCAACATATTATTTTACATTTCGTTCGGTCGATTTTTTCGATCAACGAATAAAAATAAAAACAATTTGGAAACGTTAAATTTATTGGATTGATTCGATACTTTTTTTAATTTTTCCCAGCAATTCGTTGTTTAATGCACGATTCAACTTATGTGGAAAGCTCCAACGAATTAATGACCAAAGTCTTGTAATTCGTTCAATTAGAAAATCGAAAATTTAGTAGAATATATGATTCGAACAAAATCATGTTAAATCAAGAAGAAGGAAAGGAATTAACCTGAAAATTAATGGCATGTGTAATGACACTATATGATAATTGATTGAACAGAATTCAGATAAAATAAATGTATTCTAATTTTATATTCTCGTTTCTTAAAATATTTTGTCTATGAATACTCCATAATTTATGTTCTCTCTATGAGTCTTTCGAAAGGATTATTTGAACAAGGTACACTTAGTTTATGATCTTTTATATCGTTTAATTTAGTTTATGATTTTATACAGCCCATAGTATCATATTTATATTATATTTATTTCTTTTGTACATTTTAAGTATCACTCTACCAACCAGAAGGATTTACAGTGAGTGTAAAAAGTATTCGTACACTAGTCAATTTGAACAAAAACTTTGCAGAACTTTGTTTATTACAAAAGTATGTTAACAAAAACATACATACATATTCTTAGAAATCTCTGGAACAAATGTCATTAACAACAAATTATTTATTTATATTTATTATGAAAATATTAACAAATTTCCAGAAATTGACCTAAAATATACGCGTAATAAGTATTCGTACAGTCTTTGATTCGTAACATTCCACATAGAACGATTACAAGATAATCCATGATATGTAAACATACTTAGCATCAGTATGTCTGGAGACGCTGTCGGTATAGGTAGTATCCTGAATTCAAACATTATCAACGAAATTATCAGTAAAATGTGACGAACACGCAAGGAAACCTCTGAAGAAGAAAGGAAAATTGTTATAAATTTACATAATAAGTGTAAAACCCTGAGTGAAATTTCTAAAATTTTAAATAGACCGAGGTCCACGATTCAAGGAATCATTGACAGATATGGCGATCGAAAAACTGTAAAAAATAATCGAAGATACGGACGTAAACGAATAATAAATGAGTATACCGGCCGATGGATAATTCGAAAAATAAAGCAAAATCCAAAGATAAGTGCGGTGAAAATCACAGCTGAACTTAAAAATGATCTGGACATTAATGTATGCAGTAGCACAGTGCGTAATTTTTTACGGGATAGAGGATATCACGGCAGAGTAGCTCGTAAGAAATATTTCGTAAATGAAATTAATAGAGAGAAACGATTGCAATTCGCGAAAGAGTACGTTAATGTTCCTATGGAGCACTGGAACCGTATTATATTTACTGATGAGAGTAAATTTAACATATTTGGGTCAGATGGACGATGTACAGTATGGCGGGAAAAAAATACCGAGTACGAAAAAAGAAATTTGAAGACGACCGTAAAGCATGGAGGAGGATCAGTCACAGTTTGGGGCTCTATGAGTGCGAGTGGGATTGGATCCCTCCATTTTATCGATGGTATCATGGATCACAAAATGTACATCGATATTCTAAAAGAGCATCTTCAGGTTAGTGCAAATAAAATGCAGTTACAGGGCAATTATATATTTTTGCAAGATAATGATCCAAAGCATAATGCTTATAATACACGCCAGTGGATCCTATATAATGTTCCGCAGCAATTAAAAATCCCTCTACAGTCTCCAGACGTAAATGTGATAGAGCACTTATGGAGTCATTTTGAAGAAAAAATTCGAGACCACCACATTTCTTCGAAACAAGATTTAAAAAATGCACTTTTAGAGGAATGGAACAAAATTTCTAGTACTATAACCAAAAATTTAGTAAATTCAATGCCACAAAGGCTTAAAGCGATTATACAATCTAAAGGAAATCCCACTAGATACTAAAATAGCAAATAGACTGATTTTTGTTACGTTTATGTACTAAAATTTATAGTTTTTGTTGTAAAATTAGAAGTGTTCGAATACTTATTACACGTATATTTCACGCCAATTTTTGGAAATTTGTTAATATTTTCATAATAAATATAAATAAATAATTTGTTGTTAATGACATTTGTTCCAGAGATTTCTAAGAATATGTATGTATGTTTTTGTTAACATACTTTTGTAATAAACAAAATTCTGCAAAGTTTTTGTTCAAATTGACTAGTGTACGAATACTTTTTACACTCACTGTATTTCTTTTGTAATAGTGGTCCAAGAAAGAGACCAAGAAATGTCTAGATAACATTTTTACATTCAAACCGTTTACATCTACGCGATCAATCAGCCAAGAATGACCTCTTAACCTCGACTACCATCCCTTATCTCGAGACTGGAAGAAAGCTACGTAGGTGTTCTGTATCTGGCGAAGCGTTTTGTATTCCACGTGATTGTAAAAAAGAAAAAGGAGCGTTAATCGCGTCGATCGAACATTTTCTATTACACGAAAAACGTTTCTCGTCTCTCTTACCTCGTATCAGTAGCGCCGTAAGCATGACATAAGGGAAAAGAGCGGTGAAGTAGACGACCTTCCCGATGGACTGGACACCGCGCATCAGACACAGGAAGCAGATTACCCAGGCGAGGGTGAGACATCCTAACAATTCCCATCTTATGCCTCCGAAATTTTCCCACGTGGCTCCGCGCAAGCCCAGAACGTAGTCGCTGAATTCGATCAACGATAATATCCGATCACGATTACACGTTTTACCTTTCTTCGCGATTTTCTTGCTTATCGTCTAGAGCCTGGATGCACGAAAGCCAGTTTTCGTCATCCGATTAAAGTACACCGTGGGGGCGAAGCAAACGAGAACCGAAACGACCGTCTCGCGCCAACAATTGTAAAACAAACAACTTTCTACCCGAATACGATCGTTGATATTATATTTTTCAGAAATTATCAAAATTATAGAAAATTGTTATTTTACTAATCGTGGTTTCGATTCTACTGTTAGTAAAACGTAGGGTAATGGCGATCATTCGTTACGATATGAAATAAAATCGTTTGTGATATACAAATCAAATTATTATCGTACTTAAAGTATTCCTCGGAAGACAACACTCGTCTGTAAAGTTGTTGGATCGGTTTCACTTGGCTGCCATTGAAGCAACTGGTACCGTTCCCGCCGTTGTAATATTTGAAACTACGACAGACCGTCTCGATGGACATGCAGGATTTATTGAAAAAAATCTTGTCATCCTTTTGGCACTCTATTTGTTGCAGTCCGCTATAACAATCTGTTTGAATGGACGTTATCGGTTTTGCGAGGTAGAATCAATATCGTTCCATCGGTAATGCAGCAATTAGGAGGGAACATCAAAGACCTCTTAACGGTATCGCCGATTGAAACGAAATAGCCGCCGTTTAGAGAATACGATGCGTCATAGAACCGAGGATCCTATTTTATACGCGATAAGTGATCGTACGTATCTCCTGTACGGATACTTCGTTACGATCAACGCGAGACAGGACTAATTACACCGACGCTTTGTTGTTCTATCCCCGTTTATTTTACAGGCACTTCGTTTGTAACAGGATATTCATTGTCAGTTACGAACACCCTATTATCCACGCGAGTTTTAGCGACGATAGATTCCGAGTTTTAGTACAGCCGATTACAGAAATTTCTGCCAGGTCGTGGGAGTATAGTCCCTCGGCGCTATATTCTTACTTAAATGAAAATGTCAAATGACGAATAAAAGATATATCCATTATTCGTCAAATGAAAAAGAAATAGAAATTGAACTTTTTGAATAAAAACCACGAATTGCTATACAAATTAAATTTTACCCAAACCCAATGTGTCTTGAGCTTTTTTCACAGTTTGTATTCATTTTCTCGTACAGTACAATAATAATCGAGCGATAATTTAGGAAGATTAAATATAAGAAAAGCATAATATATCGTGCGGAGATTACGTACGGATATAAGCTTCACAATTTCGAGAATACAATTGATAAATAAATCCGCTTAAACGTGTGCACAGTAGAATGGTTACAAAATTATAATCTTTAATTTAATGTGTCCATTTTCTTGCAATGACGTTGCAATCATATAATAATCCAAAATGTATTGTTATTTATTCATTGAATTATTACTAAAATTAATGCAATGAAAATCAATAATAATATATGGAAAGGAATATTGTTTAATATTGGCGATTAATGTAATTGTATTATTAATAAATTTAATTACTGTTAACGCTAGAAGAGGGAGAAAGAATAACACGATTGGAAATCAATACTATTCGATACCAACAACTAGTTTAATGTACGTAATTTTGTACTTTATTACTTAGTCTTATGATGTACTCTTTGGATAAACAATAAGTCCTCGAGCGCGTTCAAACTTTTATGGGGTCTACGAAAGTTGATAAATTATTGTGTAATTTACGCGAAATCCGCTTCGCGTTTATCTATACATTATGAAATTTATAGCAGTTTGTTAATTCTTCGAAAAGCACATAAAAATGTGTGTACTTATCTCTACGAATGGCTGTGTATTTAGTAATCCATCTTGAATTGACGAAAAAATTTCTTAGAAATCAAGATTTTCGTAATAATATTCGTTATTGATTTTTAAATAGTCGAATGACAGATGAATTATTCGCTTCGTGACACAAATATTGAAACAACGTATGAAAATGTAATTGAAAACCGCTCTAGACAATCGAATATTTTACGAAATACATACATAAACATAATACCGAATAAATGTATCATTTTATCAAATTTAACTTTTCATTGGCAAATAAACGTTTCCTATAAAAGAATTTGCGTCAAACATTGGACTTACTAAGACTCGGGAAGCATAGTCAGTACATATTACTATTGGCACTACTATTTATTACAACCCCCGTATACATAAACTACTGTAAAATACAATATGCAACTGCAATAACTCAAGCAAAGAGACGCAGAAACCGAAACAAGATGCCGTAAAGGAAGAGAACTGAAACTATTTCCTCCGTGCAATATCTTTTTGTTATTCCGAGTAACGAAATTGAATTTCAAAGAAATGAATTTCCCGTCGTTCAATCGTTTAAAACAGTTCTGCGACCGCTTGAAATTTTACAGCAACAATAAACCACGAATGTACTACGGTAACGCGTTAAAGAGTAGTCAACCTAAAAACGAAACGCCTCGATAACCTTCTTACTTTTTTAATAAATAATAATTTGCACGATCTCGTTTAATTTTAAATTTACTTAATTTGAAAACTGTGCAAATCGACACTTTTTCGCGACATACAAATTAAGAGAATAATTCAGGTGTACTCTTTAATGTGAGGCGACCGTATTAAGGGGACCAGGCATTCAGATTGAGCCTTTTTATAAGGGCTTATTAAAAAAAAAACAGTTAGGTATAAATAATTAAATAATTGATACAAACTTTTTATAGCAAAATCTTGTCAAACAACCATGTAGCATTTTCACCGCCCAAATCCTTACTTCTCACCACAACGTCATGAAACTTTGGCATTTAATTTCTGAATAGTACATACTACTTTCGAAAAGAAAAGATCGATTTTCTGACTGCCTGGTCCTCGTAATAAGGGAAGTTTGTCGAATATGTTCACCAATGAAAAATAAATGATTGACAAGGAATACGAATATGACTGTTTCGTTCTATACTTACTATTCGTGTTGAAGTCGTTATCGCAATAGGCCCAGAGGAGTTTCGGGAAGAACGAGGCGAACGTATAAAAGAGACTCCACGCCACGATTACCATGTAGTAGATCATCACCAGCATAATCACGACTAGGGTGGAATAACCGAGGCCCTGAAACGCCGGAGCCATTCGCGTGAACGCTTCGTTCGGTCCGAGACCGGAATATTGCCCGATCGCAAGTTCCAGAAAAAATATTGGCAATCCCATTGTAATCAACATTATGATAAACGGTACTAAAAAGGCGCCTAAAAAAAGACAAGACCAATGTATACAACAATCTCTCATGAACGAGAGCACAGCAGGACGTCTATCGTTCGAACTAGTAGAGGAATTGGAAGTTAGGAGAATCGAACGACTAGGTTATAAACATAAATATGAACAGTAAATACTTAAATCGTTTGATATTAATATCTGGTCTTAGATATTTAATGTAACTACGTTTAAAAATATTAATAGAATTATTCTTATTATTTCACAACACCGAAATCGATCGTCAATTACTCAAATAAAACTTTACTATAACCCGCGTTAGCCCTGTATTTAGATATTTATTATCTGAACGCACACTACGTAATATATGTATTACATACTAATAACAGAATTACGATAGATTTAGAATCTACCTGTTGCCCTAAGGTGAAGAGAAAATCACCTGTCTCTCAAATTGTCGTATCAGAATCCCGAGCCTGTGACAATCCCACAGACAACGATATACCAGACTCGCGTCAACAAACCCGTGCTTCGACTAGTCTGAAAGCTCAAGCATCATCGAAACGTCAATCGTGTTTATCGGAATTCTCTATGTTTCGCGTTCGATGATTATCAGATTCTTAATTTTCGCGTTACTCGTAAATACCGTCGAGCAGTTCGCGTCCCTCGGCTAAGAATTGAAATCGAGTGCATCGAATCGTTACACCGAGGGTGGGGTGGGGTGAGGGGGAAGGAGCGGAAACGCCGAAGATTGAAAACCGTGAGAACTGATATCGATTACGATTGCCGCTAAACGAAACGTTCTCTAACTCGATCAATGTCTCGTTAATATTCGTTCGCGGTGAACCGCGATAGCTAAATGTACACGATTTTGGCCGATTTTCCCGCGGACTTCTAATGCAAATTAATTAAAATTTATCTGACCCCCGGTGCCTGATTAACGCGATAAAATACGGTCTGTTAATATACACGCGCCCCTCTCGTTCCCAATCTTTCATTAGCGGCCGTGCGCGACGGAACAACGGAAGAACGACCAGCGTAAATAGAACGGATAAAGCGAAATAGCGAAAACGAAAATAGAATAATTAATAGAGAGAGCGTTTAGAACGCGGGCGATGCCGCCTTCCTTTTCGGCCGTTTTACGCGAATAAAACCCCCGCGCCAGCGACCGTATCAACAGGCATAACCGCACGCGCGGGCCAGGAAAGATTTATTAAATTTCCCGAACGCGCCGGTCACGAGCTGCCAAACTGCGCTTAATTATTCGAATTAACCGTTTCGTCACGTCGACCGCGCCCCGTTCGCGTTTCGTTCCGTCCTCCCTTCTCTGTCCCTTTTTTCCCCCCTGTTTTTTCATGAAAAACGCGCCGCGAACGAGAATAAATCATTCCGTGTAATCCTAGCAGTTCGTTTGTCCGCCCCCCGCCCTGTCCCCCGTCCCCCACCCCCCACCCCTGTGACTGTCCTGTTTAGCGAACTCGACCAGACGTTTTTCTCGTCAAGGGCCCCGTTTGCGTGGACACGCGTGTACGTACGCCCGCTCTCGTGTACTATTCACCAGCTGCAACAGCTACGAGCACATACGTACCACCGCCGTTACGATATACAAGGTAAGGGAAACGCCAAACATTGCCAATGCCAACGGCATACCCGATGCAGGATAGAACAAACTCGACGGGGTTAGCCCAGCTACCCCGTTCAGGATCCTGCGACAGCTCCACCATGGCACCGCCGACCCCAAGAGAAACCCTTCTCGCCTGCCAATAACACGATCTACATCATATTTCCATCATATAAATTATTAGTCAGGCGCCTACGGAACCGAGAAGTCTCAAAACCGAGGCACCCGACATTCGAGTGAATTTCTAATTCAAGTACATACGATATATGTATAAATTAAATTGCAACTTTGTCCGGAATCGTACGATTCTCAAAGAATTTTTTATCGTAGTATCTAAATCGAATTGCAGTGGACTTTTTACTCGTCTATCTGAGACTTAGCCTTTCATATGGTGAGATATTAACACGTTGACTGCCAAACTAAAACCGTCAAATTTTTTACGAGACCAAAACTTTGACTTTGTACAATTGTAAACTACATAAATTAAAATTTGTCTCGGCGCTCGTTTTCGTAACCTAGCTAAAATTCATGAATCCTATTCAAATTTATATTTTTTTAACATTTCAACCTGAGAATTAATTGCTTTAGTTGCATAGTTAAAAATCCTGTCACCCATATGTAGACGACTTGGCAGTCAAAGTGTTAAGGGGTAAAGAGTCATGTAAAATGGTAAAACGAGAAGTGATATTTGACAATATTTTTACAGCATAAGAGTTTGATGAAACTTTTTGCCACTTTTCACATATATTCTTTAGCATTTCAGGATACAAATATCCTTTTTTTCTTTGGATAAAATAATAAATGTTGTTCCTTATGTCGACGGCGTTGATCGTCATGCAGTTTAGTATTTTTTTCCTTTGAACTAGAATTTGTTGAATGAATTTAAATGTGTTTTTTTAAACAAGAAGTTATAACTCCCAAAATTTTTAATATTTTTTTAAGAAAAAAATACTGTACATACTTATAAAATGAATAAATACATCTGCAAAATCTCAGTACAAAACAGCCTATCTATCGTTAAAAACAAAATCACAAGAAAGGCCGAAAAATGATAGTCTAAACAATAATACCCTCTTAACACTAGAACCAATGAAGTGGTCAAAACGAGTAATTCATAATTTCTAACACATTCTGGAAAATTTACCATAGTATTCTAGACGAGAATGAACAAACATTTATTTTCATACAGTTCTTCGAGTATCTATTTAATATCTTTGGTACAAATAAGTACACCATAAGCGTCGGTAGTTCTAGCGTTAAAGAAAACGAGTCTGGATAGGATTTAAATTTCAAATCAAGTATGTATTATTAAATTGTTAAAAAATTGTTGATTTCACAAACAATTTCAGAAAGGCAGTTAAAAGTATCAAGAATCACATCCCACGGATTTCCTCGACAACGAAAGGTCGCACGACCGAATATTATTCTATATTCTCGACCTGTTTTTTAGACAATCACTTCCCGGTTGTACCACGATAACCAGGATACCTCGTACACAGGTTCTCCATTATTTTCGAACGCTTGAACGTCCGAGGTCTGCTAGAATGTCTTATTTATGAGCCCACTAACAGACCCAGGATGAAACGCCAATTTTTCCTTCCACCTTTTCCTTTTCTCGTCCCTGTTTCGTTCGCTCCATTTCTAATCGCTACAGCCCCGTTCGATCAGGCCGGGAACTTTACGGTCACACTGTACATTCGCCCAACGAGAGAGAGAGAGCAAGTAACGGAAAGAAAACCGCGGGAAGACAATACTGGTGGAACGTAATGTGGACAACGGGAATGCGACCGCGTCGCTGGAGGACCGCCCAAGGTATTTACGTAACGAGATTAGAGGAACGCTCGAATTGAACGAATTTATCTCTAAAGTCTAACGGCACCGCGTATTGGTAGTTTAATCTACTCTCGCTATAAGCCGCTAACAGATAAGATCCACCGAACGTTGTTCTTTTCCGTGCAACGTTGTTACCATTGTTCCGTGCGCGTATCAATGCACGCGAGTCCGATTATTCTCGTTCGCTGGCCACGAGGCTGTCGCGGTTTCGCTTTCTTTGCGCGAATCGTGGTCCTCCGGCGTTCCGTCCAGTCAGCTCGTGTTTTTCCTCTCGTTTATGGTGCCAGATGCGGAAACTTGACTTTGTCGAAAAAGTCTTCGAATATTCCGCATCTGACAAATTTCATCGTAAAACGTTTAAACACTTTAGCATTCCGAAAGCGCTAGGCCCGAGTTGAACGACGAAGGGCTGTATTGTTCCGCGGACGGCACGATCCTCTGCAACGACCATCGCCAACTCGTGGAACAATACAGCCATAAAACAGCTGCAACGCACGTGCAGCGACGCGTCTCAATCCGGAGTTCCGTTTTTTCCTCGGCAAAATTAACGGGGCCTTCGACTTAGGGACAAAACCTCAGTCACTCTCGTCCAGGGTGACCTGGGACTTTTCCTCCATCACGATCGGGTGGGGGAGGAGTTTCCGGCCCAACGGGGCAGGAAAATCGATCCTCCTCCCCCAAATCGATAGCTGATATAATCGTTTCAAATATTCAAGTTCCATCGTTTCGAGAACACTCGTCGCTAAGGACTTGTCTTTCGATTCTCGTCTTTCGATTCTCCTCATTCGCATTCTAAGCAATCATATCGCAGAAAACCGCTTCCGGCAAAACCAACTAGTCGCTCAATATTAATTTGGCGAGGGAGGGTTAAGAGGGCCTTACAACCCATTCGAATTTAAAAGAAATTCACGCTGCTTCCCACGATTAACGCGAATAATTATACTCGCGGCCTAGAAAACGAAAACTTTTCTTGTTCGATCGACGCGAGCTGATTTAACCCTTCGCTACCACCGGGCTTTCCAAGTTGGTGGGAAAACATTTTCTCGTTTTAAATTCAGCAAATCATTGACCATCTATTATAAGTAGGTAATCTGACAGTTGAAGAAAAGTAACTCGAAAATGAGAAACTTCTGTTACAGAGCATATATTAGGTCTTACCATAAAACAATATTTTAAATATGTACTGGATTTTATAAAAAACAGTAAACCACTTCTCGATTTCTTATTAAAATGTTGACATTTTCAAATTATTTACACATTAAGCCTGGAGATCGTTGTATTTCTTACAAGATTCGGTTTTATTATATGCTGACAAAAATATTCATGCGATTAAACAAATTTCAAACATCGAGCTTTGACGTAATATCTATGTGTTTCAAATTTCTATGAATCGTTGATGTTGATACACTTAAAATTTCGAAAATCCCCTAAACTGAATAATTTCGTTTGCTTTCCATTGAATTACAAATTTTATCCTCGTTAATTTCAGAATATCGAACGGCACGAACTTATGGAACGACCTAATACGTATGTATGCACACGATTGGTTCTTAAATAATGAACACGAATATAATTGAAAAAGTTCGAGGAACTTTAAAGCGAGACGCCTGGGACGTATGCATTCTCGAGGCTCCTGTGACTTTACTTACGATCTTACTTTGAAAATTTAAACCTAACGTGTGTGTTTTATTTATTAATGATGTCGATTAGAAGCGTTCGAATACTTTCGTGAGCTACTGTATGCACACGATAGGTTCTTAAATAATGAACGTGAATATAATTGAAAAGCTTCGAGGAAATTTAAAGCGGGACGCCTGGTATCGAAGTGGGCCCGTGCAATCGGTGTTCGCAAACAAGAAGCTATTTTTTCCCGACCGTTTGCAACAGTTAAAGGGTTAGGGAAATATTCGAGCGATCGAATCGCGCCTCGCCCGGCACAGTATCCCCGGGATGATGAAACACAAAGACCGCTCTCCGAGGAACCTCGTAACACGCGGCTGCTAACGAGTTTCCATCGCACAATACACACACGCTGCCCGTTTTGTTCGTGCTTCGATCGCGAAATGCAGAATTTCGGGGTGGACAGGATTTGAACTGAACGCGCGATATCCGTATCGCGCGTATCGAACGTCCCAGCGGGCAGCCGTCCATACGCGCGACACCTGACAGTCCATTGTTTGCCAATGAACGAATTTCGCATGTCCACGTCGACGTTCGATCCTCCCCGGGCGAACCACAGCGCGGATAAGGCTGCCCACGTGCTATCTACTTTGCGTCTATCGAACTGTTTAGTCCAGTCAAACGCCGTCCAAGACTTCTCGATTTCGTGTTCTGATTCCACGTATCTATCCCCAAAACGGCGTAAAGGCGTGGGAGGACACCGCGTCGCGCCTCCAAGGTGCTCAAAATCCCCCTTAGAGTTTTTAGTCGGGAAAAGTAAAACGTGATAAAATTAACCCCTTACTGTACAATGACGAGTCTGGCTCTTGGTGTCAAGTTTCACAATCATGAGGCTACTTACTCGTCATAAAGTCTTATATATTAAAATCTACACATTTTTACATTTACGAGGTATTCATAAAATAAATCCATCCTTTTTCGTGGTCATTCCTCGTACGAACAAATTTAAACAAAATGAAAACGTTCGACAAATTATTTGAAATTAAATCGTACGTCAAGGGGTTAATTATCGTCATCAACCGTTTACAGTACGCATGGGTATGATTTTTCTGAGGACACATATAAATAATTCTTTTAACCCTTTGCACTCGTATTCATATTTGAGAAGGCGATCAATCAACTCGGAATTTTTTTTACGTTAGCGATCAAAATGAAAACATTTTTATGGGAAGATATTACAATTTAACTTGTCGGTTTAAGAATACACAAATGTAATCTGTATCGCATCCCCTCTCGAACAGTGAAAAATCTATATAATATGTGTTTATAAATTTTGATTTTTCAAAGTATTTAAAAAATATATAAAACTAACTTTTAAATTAGAGGGAACACATAGAACACACAGGAATACTACAGGCTAAAATAATGCTGTACTACATAAAATATGAGGCTTCGGTATATTTTTTATTACCAGCTTTTATGAATGTGTGAAATATAGTTCCAATATTTTATTTTTCTTTGATGATTTTTCTTATAAACAAATGACCTTGGGGACAATACCAATTAGCCAAGATAAAAAAGGGAAAATGTTTTATGTTCTATTTATTTATTTGATTCTATATGTACACACACACATTTAAGCAGAAACTAAAAGAAAACATTGTAACAAGGGTCCCTAGAATGAAATACTAATGTAAATATGTGTATAATAATAAAACGTATAATGTTTCCTGTACGGCGACATACGAATGCAAAGGGTTAAATGTATATAATTTTCCATATTTTCATTTTGATCGCATACGAATAAAAATTCCCAGTTGATGGATGGTCTTCTCAAATACAAATACGAGTGCAAAGGGTTAAAAGAATTATTTACATTGTAATTTCAGTAAAGTATAAGACGATTTAAATCTTGAATTAAGTCTTGGAGGACCGCGACAACAAAAAATTATTTAAAGGATATCCGTGGTAGAGGAAAGGTTGCTTCGGACCCTATCTTCGAGTCTGACGATGCTTGCCAGTACTTTGCAATATGATATAGTACAAGCGATAAATATTTCAACCTTACAGCTATGACGTTTCTAATCCTCGATATTTTACAGCTTCGAGCGTACGCCTCAGCTACGCGTACCAGCAACCGGTAGCCAAACGCGCTTCCTTATTCCACAACACTGCCTGAATCGTTTCAGTTTGAGAAATTCTTTATAGGACCGACATTGAAAACTAAGCGTTTCGTTATTCGTGGTACAACCGGGCAATTCTTCGTGAAGAGATAAATCGAAAGCGATGAATTAAATTTTGTCGTACGAATCTTCGTTTTCGAAGAAACCAAGTTTGAAAATTTTTTGTTGAATGTGCATATAATTGACTCTTGACGCCCTAAAAAATATCTTAAGATTTATGTAGAAATGGTTAGATCGAATGAGAGTGTCTGTGATCTTCAATCTCAGTGTTGAGATTCTATTTTTAACATTCACAAACACACACAGGCCCCACGGTTCCCATCACGATTATAAAAATTAAACGATTGCCTAGAACCAAAAATTAAATATACGATCCACAAGTTTACTCCCAAAGAAGACCTAAAAACTATCGAGACGTTGAGATTAAAAATCACAGATACACGCGCTCGGATCAACCACTAATACCAAAGAGCAACGACTAAAAGATTACATATATGTATACAAACGTATCTAAGAATTCAGTTAATCTCATCGAGAGATTTCCTCATTAAGAAGATTACTAACCATTCTTCGGCTCCGGATATCAAAAATCATAAGCTGACCTTGCGTCTCCCAGCATGACTCTAAACTCACAAATTCATAACCTACATCTTTCAAGTCTGATTTAATCCTATCGTCAATATATATCAATTAAAGTATTACAGCAATACACCTACGAACAATCGGTATAAAACAATTATGTTACGTTCGCTAGCTTCCAATTTAAATCTCGCTGTTGGAGTTTATCAGTATCGTACAATTTTTTCCCCCCCCAGAAGTAAAACGTAATTTTTGGTTATAGAGGGTGAAACAAAAATCGTGAAGGTGCTCTTAGCTTACCTTCTGCGATTCTTTCGTGGCGTTCGTCATGGTTAGGTCGAGAGAAGTTCAGCCCGAAGCCGAGAGCGATATATCGCGAGTTCGACGTAGAGTCGTACCGTCTCTCCTTCGAAACGACAATCGCGATTGTCTGAACAGCTTCGCGACGGTTTGAGAACTGTGTAACGTCGGGTATCGAGATAATCGGCAGGGGCCATTATCGCGACTCGTTTTCCGAATCCACTTCATAACGCCGCGGGTCACAAATCAAACGCGACGACACGTTGCGGAGCGAAGTCTCGTCGCGACTCGAGGGAAAAAAAATATATTTTTGTCGATACGATATTAAAAGCGCAACGAGATATCGAATCGATCGATCGACCGTACTCGAACGGCTCGCGCGAGAATCCTGAGTACCTTCGTCTCGACGATCGGAAAGAATGTTTGTTCGACTCGATCTCCTTTCACGTTTTGTTTAATTATTGATACACTCGAGCGTCGATGGCCATATTAACCGCGTATTACAACGATAAGTAACTCTGTTTGTACTGCCTCGGTGTATCAAGCGTGAACAACCTGGAGACGATATAATCGATTCGTTCCCGATAAAGCAGCATAGAATCAGATAGCTGCGTACAAATTCAAAAACGTGCTTACCTGGCTTTCCGTCCGATAGATTCGCGAACGATATTAACGAAACAACCCATCAACCTGTTTCATTCAGAAATTCTTTACAGCGTTCGCCGTACAATGTATCGAATCTTCATCGACTTTGATAAAAAAACATTTCAGAAAGCAAGGAATCACGGACTGATAAATGGAGCTGAAAATAAACTCGCGAAGTGTATTGTGAAATTTAATTCTAGCGATTTTTTGAGAATTAAAAATCGCGATTCTGTAAATGATCGAAACGACGACCTCGGGTTGGCAACATTGTTAGATACATCGACGTTCTTCCGTTCGATAAAGTAATTAAGAAACGATATAATAATCTGGGTCTTTCGCTAATCGATTAATGAGAAACTTCCAACCGATAAATCAACCACTATGACTCAAGAGATATTGAAACGAGTGATAGAAGAAAATCAAGACGTCCACGAGCGATACATTTTTCCACTAATCGGGTGTATTCAGTAACGATACTTTCTATGAAGTAATTATTCGTATTCTTTCAACGAATGATCGATAAAGAGGATGTAGGCTATCTAAGAGATTGGTGTTGTAGATATTATCAAGAAAAAATTAAATTCTGTAGAAATTTTGTTAAATTGCATGAGTCACTATCCATTATTTTCGAGAAAGATACTTCAGAATATTGTTTCCTTCGCGTTTGGACGCCTTAAAATCGAACGTTTTCGAAAATATTTGGATTCGATTTGCCTTCCCTAGCATCTGAATTCACAGGGCAGACACGGGCAACTTGATCCCTCGCGGGCTAAATTTAAGCTCCCACCTGTGGGCATTTCACGTCACACTTCACAAGTTTAGACCAAAAAAAGGTATCAAAAATTTAGAAATTTATACGTTCTATACGTCTAAAAACAGTATAAAAAGGTTGTACAAAGAAAATTCTATTTGCAATCAATTTATCCGAATAACAGCTGATCCGTCTTTCATACAAAGCACCAGCTTAGTTATTAATCCTAAGAGACGTTTACTCAAATAAAAACTTATTGGAACAAATTTTTCTTTCCATTTATCGAAAATAAATCCTTGCTCGATATTCATGAATGGCATCCTGTTTACTCGAAATTTATCTGAATAATAACTGAAAAGATATTGTACGATTGCAAGTACTCGAATGTTCAAAATGTATTCAATAATTTTTAAGGAAATAATTTGTCAAACGTTGCCAGTAACGTTTTGTCGAATATATTATATTATCGATAACGATAGCTTATCGCTCAAATAGAAAGATAAAGTGGAAGATTGAATGTAATTTACAGAGGTATCTATGCGTACTTTGCCTTTCACTGAGTGCAAACATATACATTTTTAAAAGTACAAGTCAACTTATTAAATCAACATATTGGTTCAACGTATTGTTTGAAGCGACGTAGATCAAAAGTAACTATCAGTCAAGGAGACCAATGTATAAAAGTTTTATCAAACGCAATAGACTTTTAACTGTACTAAAAATTCGGTCACGAGTTAATGAAAGTCGTCAACCATCCAGTCAGTATTACAACAATAAAAAGTCGCTTAATTTAAGTCGGTTTTTATGGCCGAATTGTCAAGAAAAAGCCATTTCTACGAAAAGGAATTAATTGAAACATTTCCAGTAAGCTGAATTACACTAACAGTGGTCGTTAAATAAATGAAATTGAATTCTTTGAACCGAACAGTCCCAATTCCAAATCTTTTAAGGAAACCGTCAAAATGTACATATTACCGAAGACAAAAATGCTTGCAAATTGAAATAATTAAAATTCTATTTTATAATGTAAAATTTCCGAACATCAACGATTTTTTCCACTATGATCGAAGAATTAGAACGTGACTGCACAACTGGGATTCAAACAACGCGGGCCGGAAGTCAGACCTGTAAATTTCGAGCCCTTATATCTTGATAACGGAGCCTCGTATCGAAAAATGGTAAAGGACTTTTCGATTTACATTGAAAATATGAACTTATCTCAGTCTACATTTCTAAACTACTGTAACAATAATTAATACACCGAAGGAATATAGCTTGTAAATTCAAAAGGGTGTCTAACAAAAGGATTGTTATTTATAAAAGATATTTATAAAAGAAACGTTGCTTGCGTAATAAAAAAATTAATTCACATTATAAGCGATTCGAGTAAACTCTTTATCTTTTTGTTCGTTTCGGAACGTTTACAGCCACGATTCTTTACCGAAAAGTAGTTCGATCGTTTACATTGAAACGTTTATAATCGTTATCACGAACGGGCGATAGGTTGATTAAGTCGAGAAAGGTGACGATCGCGATGCTCCGTTCGGAAACGCAATAATAGCCTCCGATGATTTCCCAGACGTCCGACGGCCGGCTGCTTAAAATTCCAAAAGTTGAATTCAGAGATGGAAGGAACGTCGAAAGGAAAACGTGCTTGTTTTATCGTGAAAATGTTGACTGGAAGAAAAGTTTTATATATCCGGGAGAACAAGCGGCGGGATGATCTCGCGATTGCGTATGCACGAGTATCGCGTGAAAGGGGAACGATTTGAATAGGGAAGGTGAACAAATCTGCTCTACGGGTTCCGGATAAAAGGGACGATTTGCAAACTTGTTTCCCGCTGCACATATGGAGCCCCGGTGATTGTGAGGCAAACAAAAGCGGCTTATCGTTTATAAAGAACCGACGGTAACTCACAAATTTCACGAATTATAGAGCTTCCGCGTGTAATGCGCGTACCGTGAAATATTTCTGGGATTTTCTGCTCCCGTGTGCAACGCTACCTTTCCCTCCTGCCTCTGTTTTTATTTATTCCGGAGCCAGATACCTCTCACAAGCTCGGCGATCGCGGGGGCTTTCGTTAATCCCTACTTTTCCATGTGAGATATTGACCGACGACGCGTGGACTTTGTGCCCTAAGCAACTCTAGGGTCCATCCGATCAGATATGTTTAATTGAGGCAAACAAGAAACAAGTGAGTCCTTCAAAGATCTTGAAATCTCGAGAGCACTTAAAAACTCTTGAAAAGCTCCGTAAGCGTGAACTAGAATTTTTCCGAAACTATCTGGGAGCAATGTCGGGGTGAAAAGTATCGGAGGCGCACAATCAAACGTGATGCAATTTTGAAAGACCTCGACTTTATAACAGAGAGAAAGGAAAATAATTTTTCTATTCCTCCTTCATAAAAATTTGCTGGTCGCGATGAAAAATGATTCGAGACGAGTTCGAGCGTCTCCGATGCTTGGAAATAATTAATAAAATTCGTTCGACCGGAAAAAGATATTCAGAGCCTCGATAAAAATTGTCCAGCGGCCGCGGTTGCCGTTTTGCATGTCGATCGATCTGTTTCGAAACGGTCGTTCAAAAACGAAAGAGTAACACAACGAACAAACAAAACATCCAGAAATGGAAGTCACGGTGTCGTTTATTGCGACTCGCTGCGAGGTACTCGTGGGCTAAAGTACTTTGTCAATACACGCGGTCGGTTTATTGTAGGCCGTTTTATTGACGCCGGTCGCGGAACTAGCGCGAAATGTTTTTCCGGTGTTCGAGAGCGGCCCCGCCACGGGGGCAGATGCGATCAATGCTATCGATAAATTAACCGTTAAATCGTAGAACGTAGGCAGGAGGCTGGCCAAAGTCGCGGGCGAACTACCACTGCGAATGAAATTAACAGAAGCGACCACGGCGGAAGGGACGCTATTGGCAAACTTGGTAAGCTTGCGTCAGGGTCAATATAGTCCTGTGCTACGGCAGAGGCTATCTACGGGTCTATATGTATACCGTTTTAAGCTCGCAGTTTCAAACATTTGGGCTCGGGTGATTATATTACAGGCTTGTGTACTTGTCTGCCCCCGGTGTTTCGAGCTATGAACGCACGATGCACTGGGAAACAGTCGCCGCTTCGCGTTCCGTGTTGTGATTTACGGGCTTCCACAGTTATTGTTATCGAATCATTCTTAAGCGCTGTTGACGCAACCATTTGTTTTACATAGATATTTTCGTCACGATATTCGGATAATCGATCGTACATGTAGGAACGGAAGGGTCAGTTAAACGCTTGCGAGAGAAACAACAGCGTAGCCCTCTGGTGGCGAGTACGGGAGGTGTCGCCACGCTAATGTGGATATTTTTCTAATTGGATTTCTGTCATTCTTCTGCAAATTTAATGCATGCTGTTCTTTCTCGAGATCATTTTACCACAAAATATTTGCATAGCGATTAACGTCCGCTCAGACTTCGAGCGAGCTTCGCAATCATCTTTTGATCGTCGGTAGATAGCATATCATTATTTTCTTTCATTCGCGGAACAGGTACTTTATTCGAGATTGTACGCTTACGATAATACCATATACGATACTCGATAATTTGAACTTCAAGGGAAAAGCTAAAATCTTGGGTCGCAGGGATTCCGTCTTAGCAAAGTTTCCAAGTAAAAGAGTTTTAAAGACGAGACAGTGGACCCCAATTCTATTCATTTG